CGGGGTTAAACATGTTTTGTGAAATCTCAACCATCCACCTATACCTCTAGCCAATGTAGAAAAAGAAACACACAGCGGTACGCACAGTAAAACTCAGTTTAAAAGAAGTCCGAGTCCGATGTCAGAATATGTAACAAAAGAAACTAAGCAAAATGACAATGATACATAAATTAACAAAGGACTACTAGCAGTTACTGACATGCCAGCTCCAGACCTCAATTAAACTGATTGAAAGATTATGTCTTCATCATATGAAAGTCAAGTACAATCCCTCCCGTTAGGGGTTTAGTATCATACCATCATAAAATATATGAGAAGAACATAACCCGTATCATGCCAACAACTGGTTTTAGAATAAATGTGTTTATTTCCGATGCAAAGACCCTATGAGTGAATCAATATTAATACCAAAATATGCAATCCTTAATAATCACTTGACAACAGTATCGTAACTATATCCCTTCCAAATAAGTCAGTTTAAAGGTTTGGATAGCTTTTGAGGTGAATGCCGACATTTTTGTGCTTTGTAAAGAATATTACCATAAAAGATTGGATGTGAAATACCTGAACGTATAAGATGTCTGCATGTTAATTTATATTTCCGAATGATGTCCTTGTACCGATGATAAAATTTAGTAAATGTTTTGATTAGTTTGTGATATCGAAAACCCTGGTGTAATAATTTTTCAGTAATACAGAGATTTCTTTCGTTAAAATCAAATACGTTGTTACATACACGAGCGAATCGAACAAGTTGAGATATATAAACACCATAAGATGATGACAAGGGAACGTCACCATCTAAAAATGGATAATTAACAATAGGAAATGAAAAATCATCTCTTTTGTCATACATTTTGGTATTAAGCTTCCCGTTAGCTTCCCGTTAAAGATAGAGATATCAAGATCCAGGAAAGGGCAGTGTTCATTGTTAGCATTAGCTTTATTTAAGGTCAGTTCGGCAGGACAAATCTCTTTAGTGTACATACTGAAGTCGTCATTATTGAGAGCCAATATATCATCTAAATATCTAAAAGTGTTATTAAATTTTTGAATCAGATGTTGTTTCGATGGGTCTTTGCTGATTTTAGTCATAAATTGTAACTCATAACAATACAGAAACAGGTCCGCAATAAGTGGTGCGCAGTTAGTCCCCATGGGAATTCCAATAACTTGACGATATACGGAATCTACATAGCGAACAAAAATGTTATCTAGTAAAAATTCAAGGGCAGTTATAGTATCAAAGCAGGTCCAATCGACATAGTTCTTTTGTTTGTTGTTACTAAAAAAATGACCTAAAAGAGTTTGAACATATATATTCGCATTCTGACTTTTTAAATGCCTATTTAATCAGGTGAACCTAACATTTAGTTATAGCATGCCAGCCGAAACGACTTATGAGACACTATCATTAAAACAAACTTCTGATACATACATAAAAGAACAATTTTTTTTAGAACACATATTTTGGTTCCGAACGTACCTGATGAAGATTGATGTAAGAGGACAGGCTGTCAAGATATATAGACTTTCCGGGCTAATCCGATGTCAATCAATCATCAATCAATTGAACATTAGCTTGTTCAAGCATCATATATACAGGGATAGGGGGCGGTGATAATTTTTGTATGGAAGAGTCATGAATATTATCAAAGAAATTTTGTTTCAGTGATAAAATTTTAAATCATAAAATATATATAACAAACAATATATAGCGCGTTTGGAACAGACGGTTTACCCTAAATAAAATAAATCGGCCGAAGTGACATCTTAAATCTGGGTAATTATTTATATTATTTGAATGATCTGTTTTAAGCGTTACTCAACACCTTTCAATCATTTTTACAAGAAAACATTGAGATAATCGATATAATTACCGTACTATTGAATATTTAATATTACTGACGAAAGTCCTTCATTTCTCAGACTGTATTCTTCGTTCTTTGAAATTATAGTTTAAATCTTTCCAGATTATAAGACGAAAGAATTCTTTGTGAAGATAAATCATCTATATCAAAGAAACAGATATATATATCAACTAGTTAACCTTAGTCAAAATTTATTATTATATTTTAACGGCCGTTTGTTTGCGATGTTTAAATACGCAGACTCTGTTGCAACTACTCTACCGTTGTCAAATTTGAAATATTTACAAATTTAGATCGTTCAGTGCTGTTTATTTGGAATTCTTATTGACGCAATCGTTCTTGTAACATCATAACTGTCGTCACCGTTAAAGCTTTAGAATTGTGCTAGTTCATATCGCACATTTTTATTTTTATTTAAAGCATATATTTGAACTCTCTGTTGTAATTAGTCATATAACCTATGTCGTGTTTAACACATATTTAGAATTGTGCAAGCGTCTTACCTGATGTTCGGTTTGACATTTTTATTGTATAAATTTCAAGATTGGTATAGTTTAATCTAAGTAGACTGATATATGATTCATTCAACATCACAATCATATTTACTGATGAAGGATATCTGTTATCCGAAATATTTATAAATAATTACATTTATAGTTCCTTTTTTTGTTATTGGTGTTGTTGTGTACACTTTTTAGGCGTTTATATATATATATATATATATATATATATATATATATATATGAACTACTTATCGGCAATATATCAATTGGAATTATTTCTAAAAAAAAAGAGAAAATCATGACTTAACAAAGTTTATATGTTGCCACACGGATTCTTATGATATATTTTCTATGTACAGTTAGAATATACCAAAGTGCTCTTGACCAATGGAATTGTAGGATTTGATGTCTTTTAACTGTGAAGAATGCATGTAAATCATGTTCTTACTAAAGGATGTTCCTGTTGTTTATACCTACTAACAGTTAGTTAAGAGACCTGAAGTCATTTATCAACTTGAAGGGATTACATTTTATGATTGAAATTGATTTAAAATTTAATAGTTAAACATACAAACAACAAAACCAAATACGTTGAAGTTTACAGGTGCAGTAAAAAGTGGTATCGTTAAAATTATAATTTGAATATTAATAAGTTTAAAATTAAAATAAAGAAAAACATACATGTAATCAATGCAATGCAAAAGGAAAGAAAGAAAAAAGTAAAATAACAAAAATACCGAACTCCAAGGAAAATTCAAAACGGAAAGTCCTTATCAAATGGCAAAATCAAAAGCTCAAACAGTTCAAACGAATGGAAAACAACTGTCATATTCCTGACTTGGTACAGGCATTTCCTTATGTAGAAAATAGTGGATTAAACCTTGTTTAGCTAGCTAAACCTCTCACTTGTATGACTGTACCGATACCAAAAGTACCTGTTACCTGTTACCTAATCTACATACGTTCCGCCTCTGTCAGGCGTACCACCAAACGGTGTACTTGGGATTTGCTATATACAAGGGTCATAATCACATCTGAACTTCGTCATCATACAGGGATTGACACTACTAAATTCAATCATTAATAAAAAAAAATATATATCTACAAGTAGTATTCGGTTTCAGTAAGGAAACCAGAACGGATTCAAACAAAGATTTTGAAAGCAGAGAAAACTGTGCACCTTTTAAAATCAGCATGACTTTATCAAATGACAATACGAATACTAAAAATCCAGGCTGAAAATAAGGCGTAGGTACTTTAATTCAGTCACGGACCCGCGATGTCGCGGGTGTGTTCTAGTATAACTTAGATCTTGAAGCAATACGCTTACAAAACTTCAGATTACTGGATCTGCGGTTGGTAAGAATAGTATTTACATATAGGGGGTTAAATCAACCTTTGAATTTCATATAAAGACATTTCATATGAACATTTCAATTTGAATTAATTACCTTACTTAATGAAAACGTTTTTCGGAATCAACTATTGGCTGTGGAATAAACTTCAGTTGTAAGTAAAATTTAGAATTTATTGATTTGAACTGTAAGTAAACGAAAAGATACTTCCTAACTGATAGATTACATGATTTACATTCATACTCACCATTAGGAAACTTAAACAATTCCTACCATTCCATCGTATTTGTTGTGTCATCTAATGCCTAAAACACAGTTTTAAAAATCTTTCCCATGTTATAAGATACTCTTTACATTACCACGACTTATCCATAAAAAAAATGCCTAAAAAGGAAGTCGTGCATTAATTATTGACATTACACTAAAAATCAAACAAAATCTTGATTAAAGCCAATCAAGAGATTATTTTGGCCTGAGCGCTTTATAATATTCTAAGTTTGTAAGAGAATGATAATCTTTTCTTCCTGAAAAGTACTCGCTAACGCTCGTTCTTAATCATGAAGAAAGGGATTACCATTCTCTTACATATACAAATAGTTTTAATCGTACAACATACAACTTTAAATTTATATATTATAAATTCTTTAAATTCTTTATTAACTTTGAGCCTTACGGCTCATCAGTGTATTCAAATACAGTGTATACATATGGCATATTACAAACAATATTAACAATATGCATAAATAACAATAGGTGATGTCAGAAGTTTCATGATTACAAAATATCTTTACAATAAACTGTTTCTTAATTTAAAAGAGAAATGTATATATTGTCCTAAGTTACAAAGCTGTTTTGTGTTTTCACCAGACAATAATTCTATTAACTTAAAAGTTGATGGCCTAGACCAGTAATATTTTTTTTGTATATTTTTTACGCAAATCAGTATATCTGCTACATTGTAGGATGAAATGAAATACATCCTCTATTACTTTTAAATCACAAAAAATACAATTTCTTTCATTTCTAATAGTAGAAACATAACGTCCAGTTTCAATACAAAGGTTATGTGAAGACAAACGAATCCTTGTTATACATTTACGAAAAAGTACAGGAATACATTTCTGTAAATAAAATTGCAAAACTACATCTGTACTGAAAACATATCACTAGTATATCAATTTTACAAGACTTGAGTGATGTAATTTTTCATTTTTGTAATATTACCGGGAAAATTCTTTTGTGTACATGCGTACAGTGAACAGTTATAACCTCCCTTTGAAAATACCTTTGACCTTGTTTACATTCTGACAATTCATTCCGAAAATATCATCATTTCAGACATTAACATTTGTCATTTGACAGTTAAAATGGAGTTGTTTGGAGGTTAACGTATCACACTCCTAGTGATCTGATTAATTGTGTGCTGTTGTGTAATCTAAAAGGAAAAGATTTTGTAAGACATAGGAACAAAGAAAATTAAGGTAAAACCCTAATTATCTATTGAAAATATATCACTTGCTATACATATTTCTTGGGTTTTTTTTATCTATGAAATTTAACAATGTTGAGAGTTTATTATTTTTTTGAAAGAATTGGAGTGTGAATAATCGCACAATCTTTATCGATGAGATACTAGATATGATCAAATATAGAATGCTTTTATGTTGATGTAAATTGATAGGCTGTTTACACATAGATAAATACACATTATACCTACAGCAATATATACTGACATGTTTGTAATGATAAAATGTAAATTCTTATCAGGGGTCAGGCTATCGTATATCAAAACTCTATTACAATTTCGGTATCGACATTCATTTTGAGGTAAAAATTTCCCTGCCATTCAAAATCAATTAACCAGCAAATTATTATAAATAGTTTACGTAATTTTGCGTAGGCTGAAGTTTTTTAAAACATCAACAAAGAATTGACATATATCTAGACGCTCCTTTGTGTATTGGGTTTACCTGTACAAAGGTAAATGCAGTGAGTCATTTATATTATAGAAATGAACTTTGTATGTCCCATATTATTGTCGTTCACGAAGTTGTGAAACGCAGGTGCAAATACATAACTTAAATAGTTTCCATTAAGGTAAAATATAAAAGAAAAGTACGACGATTTTGTCATGTCTATGATAATGTACCCTTTTACGACAGTCACGTCGATAAAGAGTCTCTAAACTATATTGATTTCTCTTATTTTATGGATTTGATCTGTTTTTCACATCTATCTTAATAAAATTCATATCGTGTTTTTTGTTTTTGTCCATTGCGTTCGTCGTGTACATTATGTAATGCGGTGATAATTTTAAATGAAATAACCATTACTTTGGATGAAGCCGACATACATATTTGATTTACATCCGTAGTAATCCAAGTAAAATCTCCTTATTTTCATATAAATGTGAATTATTTTCTACTCCATGTTAAAATAAAAACCACAAGAAACCCAAGTTGGGTTTTTTTCCCGCATGGTAGCAGGGACAGTGAGTTTTGCCATCGCTTGATAATATATACTCTTCTGCATCATGTAATACCTCATTATTTTCTGGTTACTTAGGTGCATGTGCTTCCAAGGCTTACAATACATTAAACATAAGTTTTAAGTTCTGCATGTTTGAATGGTATGATTTTACATTAGTATAGATTAATCTGGTGTTATTAAACATTTTCTAATTCAACGATTTCAACAGTATACTAGATTCAGAGGATAAACTTCGGTTAAGAAATGCGTCCTCTCCGGAACATCCAGTTGCAACAGTCACCAATTTCCCGCCATTTCACATGCATCGTGATTACTTTCCATCCTTATCACATTTTACTTAAGATTTCCATATTTTCAATCGACCTTGAACTTTAAGATATTTAACATCGTACCTTACCCTCAAGTGTCATCCTATGATTTCAGACGTAATTTCCGCACAATTTTTTGACAAACAGTATAATTACATACCTATTTTACTCGAAAACGAGAATATATTATAATCTTTCGTTTTCAAAAGTATGAAAAGTAATCGGGTCTTGTGTGTCGACGAAAATACTTTTACGAACAAGTTGAAGGACATCACTTAAACTTTCCTCTTTATTTCCTACAGGGTGACTGTTGCAGAATGTTCAGTTTTGGACGCATTTTCAAAAGTTGTAGTGGCGGATGTCAGTTGCTGTGGAGCGATCCAAATAAGCAAGCAGGGGCATATGATGCCGTAAACAAGGACGACAAAGAAGAGATCGATGAATTAGACTTAGAGCTGCTGTCAACTTCTGACGCTGTTTTGTCACAGCCACATGGGGGAAGAAGAGCATCATGGTCTCTTGACATGGAATCCCCAATCGTCAGAAACCATGCACCTATAGTCAAAAATGCATCTAAAGCCTCATCACTAGAGAGGAACCAATCATTCTCTGGACAGAATTCTTCGTCTATTGTCAAAACAAGAACACCTCCTAGAGACGCATTCACGATTTCAAACTCTCCAATTGTCAAAAATAAAACCCCGCCAAAAAAATCTACGAATAAAACTTCTACTGTCGCAAAAACGAGAACTACTCCTAGAAATGCCTTTGAAAATTCGACGCCTTCAGTTGAAGTTTCTGGAAATGACAATACCGAAAAACTGGTGAGCGCATCAACTCCAGACTTAAGTTCAAAGTCTACAGAATATGGACCAAAAATTCATTCGTCAAAATCATCGAAGAAGGTCAAAAAATCAAATTCTGAGCTTGCACTTCAGGTTGTTTCCGTTGTGTAAATTAATAATCAAGATTTTTTGTTTTGTTTTTATAGTGTCGAACTTTATAAAGATTTTTAATGAGATTAGAAAAAGTGCCAAATTCAGGAAAGGTTTCTATACTTGCATACATTGAAAGGTGCTAAGATTTGACATGGTATTGTAACAAGCATGCACAGGTTTGCAATTTTGCATCAGTATTTTGATGTTGTCCACGTATTTTACTCCTGCATACAATAACATATTTTAAGATTTGTTGACTAATGTGCCTTTGTCATTCAATTTGGAATGTTCCATTCCAATATCTGAAAGATCTCATATAGTTCACAATCATTGTCATAAATTACTTATCCTTTGTGGTTACGACATTTATGAATATTATTATTATAGTTTCAAATTTATAAAATAAAACTCAGATGTTTCATATTTTTACAAGAAAGGATGTCCTTTATGAAAAACAAAATTGTTCTACGAGCCATCGATTCTGTGTCAACACAGTTAAAACAGTTTAAATCAATAATGTTTTTAGTCATTTTAGCTGTCTCATGCGCTAAATAAAGGTTGGTCAATGATTTTATATGGACAGATAAATCAAGTGCTTTTTTGGAAATTTACATTTGCTAAAAGTAGGTAAGCGGATAAATTGCCTAGTTTGTTTATCTTTTAAAATGTTAAAAGATTTGTATAAAGTTGTACATATAATACAAATGATTCAAAAATCAGATAAAGTCCCTAACTATATGCAGTTGAGTTGAAAATGAAAACAATTGAGTCCTTGGCTTTCAGGGGTGTTTGTGTTGATATGCCAGACATTCAGGTAGATTAGCCATATATATTCCTAACGATTTTGTTTTTTTCATTTATTTATTTACCTGTATAACTGGTTTATAATTTAAGGTTTTCTTTAGAATGGTTTTACCTCTTTTGACGGAAATATGGTTCATTCACGGGGAAATTTATGATAACTATATTTACTATCTTCGCTGCATACCCGCTAATAAATAATGATAATGTAAGGAAGCTATATATATAAATAAGAAACATTGCAGCGAAGCTCATTTAGTATAAAACATTCATCTGTGTATAATGATGCAAGTGGCTTTTATTGGTAACATTATAATTTACATATAGGTAATTAAATTCTATTGAATAATGACTGAAAAAAAATATGTTTACTTCATTATATTTCATTCCTGATAATTCAATCAATATAAACAGACCATAACGATTTTAATATTTTGTATGAATAATGTAAATAGTTTTTAAATGAATTTATATGTATCAGTTTATCATTTCCAATGAAGGTATGTATTTTATATAATTGTACCGCGTATATACCGTACAAGTCTTTCAGGATTATAACTAAGATTCCATTTTCTATATTTGAATCACGACACACTTATAGAGTTTACATATCTATTTAGAGCATCTGCGTTTTCTAAAGTGATGGGAAATCAAAATTATTGCTGCGACATTCCATGTGATTTCTCCCTTTTTATACATTGATTACTGGTTTTTTAGACCCTACGATCTAACACTTTCTTGTCAGAACATTGAATTTTAACATTTATAATACGTAATAATCAACACCCCAAAAGAAGAGGAAGAATTTTCATTCAACAGATTATGGCCCCAGGAGGGCTTATAACATTCAACAAATACGATTATAGAAATACTTGTACATGCCAAAGATATGATTTAACAAATAAACTACATTGTTTTAAATGTTTAGTCCCACTTGTCTTCTTCGTTGTTTACTGTAAAACTACTCACGGAAGTTGCTTACGATATACAAATAAGTTTGAACAAGATGAAACATAAGAAAAAGGCATACGAATTAACTATAAGCGAATGACATTAATCAGAGACACATCCTATTGTACTATATGTCCCTGTCTGAACTTTCTTTCCCAGAAAAAAAACCCAAACACTTCAACAATTCCATACTGTATACATTCACTTACGGTAAATAATGTCACATTATTATGTAATGTATTAATATATGCTTCACACTGAAAGCTGGATAATATATTGCTGATTTTTATATATTATTTTTAATAAATGTCTTCACGTTGTAATTGGCACATTTGATTAATAATTTTTTTTCAGTTTCACATTGTTGCCGACTTAATAATCCGAAGATTGACAAAATGTATCAAGTTTTAATTATCATGTTATGTTATCATTTTTAATAAATGTGTACTTTAATTTCAAATTTATTTAATGATACCCTGAATCATTAAAGACAATCGTAACTTGATACGGTGTCTCAGACATTTCAAATTGAGTCGTCTCGGTTTTTTAAATCTTTAAGGATGGAATAAAATTCTTCTGGCGACTTACCTGCGAGTCAATTGTTTTTTATAAGACAGATATCTTTGATCATTTATGGCTTGAATCCCATATTTTTATAAACAAAACTTATCTTAACCACACAAGACAAAGTCACATGTATTATCCGTACATATGGTGCAGAAAAATTAGTGTCTTTAATGTTATTACCCATGTCAAAATATAGAACAGTTGCTGTTGGCCTTGGAAAATATGCTTAAAATGGTTATATAGATCATAAAATCAACAGCAGATGCATTTTTGAAATCTACAAATAAATTCTTGCAATTAGCAAACAGCTGTTTACGATCATTTTGATGGATATATAATAACCTATGTAAAATTTGGTTAATTGCAATGGAGATGCTAGGCATAACAAGTAAATATGTGAAAACAAAGAAGGGCAATATGCAGTCGGATATGGACATTGACGTACATATCAAATTGGATAAAAGCAAAACATGTTATTTTTCCACGAATTAACAAATACAAACGTGATCAGTTTTGCATGGATATTACCTTTCACATTTTATTAAAACTTAAATAATATATTACTGTATTCATTCCTAATGCAATGATTTCTTTGAAAAATAACCCGTAGAGATGTAGATTTCATACTATAGGAGTGTTCTGTTGATTATCATATTACATATCATTTGTTATTAAGTCGGGATTAAATCAATAGCTCTTATAATCCTACATGTACATCCGTTGGAATCTGTTAGACAAAGCACTGCTAGACATTAGTTAATATTCCAGTGAATGACGATTTGTCTTCCGATTCTTAAACATGTGTTACAGTTGTTTATAAATTTTCACACTCGCCATCGGAAGACTTTTATCATATTTTCTTACACATGACAAAGGTCTTTGTCTATGTTTCATAGGTAGCAAAAAGGCATTAATTCATGTTTTCCTGATTGCACTAAGCGTATTGATTTGTGTCTGAAGTTCGGCCACGCGGATATTCAGGTTTCGCATACTGTAGCCAATGAGGGTTTCATATAGACGTTTTACTGATGAATATTTTGGTCGTCATTTGTGTATATATCAAAACGAGGCACGTTCGTTTCATTGGTGGCATTTAGTATGGGACTGAGAGTTTCGTATAATAGTCTACATACCAAAATATACGATAAACGGGACCCTTTTCCTTTCCTATTGTTAATTTTCTTTTCCTTAATGAAAATGTTCAAAAAGCATTTTCCTCTGGGCAGACTCAAGTCCCACCTAACAGAAAATAGATTCACATACTTATTAAACAAGAGCCACTCTAGAAAGAGTTGTGAGAGACTATGTATATGTGTTTACATAAAACACGTACGAAAGGAGTGTATACATCTTTCAATCGCAGGTTTGTATAGTTGACGTCTCAGATTTCATTGAAAGAAATATTTTCTTTGCCAAAAACAGTATGGATATATGGTCAAAACTTTTACTAAATTTTCTCATAAATATAGAGATTCGTCGTAGAAGTATGCAGTGGCGGATCCAGAACTTTTCATAAGGGGGGCCCGCTGACTGACCTAGAGGGGGGGGGCCGCTCCAGTCATGCTTCAGTGATTCCCTATATAATCAACCAAATTTTTCCCACAAAGGGGGGGGGGGGGGGGCGGGCCCCCAGGGCCCCCTGGATCCGCCTATGGTATGATTCTAGACATAAATTTAATAGAAATGGTTTATCAAACCAAACTCGGTAATATTATTTGTACATCTTACAAGTTTATTAATTGTCCAACATTTTTCGCTGGTGATATCTAGGGCTTTCATCCTTGTTTCACTTGTTTCGACTGTAGAACTCATTCACGTTTCAGTCACAACGGTGACAAAAAGATCATTAATTCATATTATTTATTTAGATCTACCACTATCCAAATATGACTTTTATTGCATTGCAGGTTCAACTAGTGCATGCTTGTTATTTAAATATCAATTCATTTTTGCGACAGCTTTTAAAATGTAAAGCTTGGTTAGTTTCATCGTAAAACATATAGTCTATCATGAATCAAAATAAAGTAGACGAGACGTCGTATTGTATTTTCTGATATCACTAATTGAGTCAACTCTACAGTGTAATGTGACCATTAATTTTTAAGTCTGAAACAGTTTTTCCTACCACCCCTTTATTCACAACCAATCCTTTTAATGATCTAGTTAGTATATTCTCGGGTAAAACTAAAAAATCAAATATACATAAATCAATAATAAAAGCAAACAAAGATGTAATACATAGATTGTGTGTTGATGGTAGAGTAATTAACGGTTAGTAATTAACTAATTGTCCTGGTGTAGTAGAATGGATATTATTTCCTTCTCATATTAGCACAAAGTTCCATATGACTTACTGTAGGATCGCATACGTTGGCGTTTAATTAGCCTGAACGACTTCACAAGCCAGTTATATTTTTCATCGTTTTTATGATGAGTACATCTTAAAATATATCACATATGTAGACGAGATTTAACAATTTATGTTTTTTGAGTTATGGATAATTTGAACGAAGCTATATGGTTTCATTCTAGTGTGTTTGATGTTTTAGAAAGAAGAAACCAACAGATAGACATATTAACTTGGAACATATCATGAGGTAAGAATTTATTTCCAACATTTTTACTTGGAACATATCATGAGGTGAAAATTTGTTTCCCACATTTTTGCTTTGAACATATGAGGTTAAAATTTGTTTCCCACTTTTTTACTTGGAACATATCTCGAGGTAATAATTGTTATCCTTAAATTGTATCAAAATGTGATGATCTCTACACAAATATCTAATTTTTAGTTTTTTAAGGAACGCAAATTTATTGCTCTTGGTTTAATTTTTCATTCATAGAAATTCCACATGTATTTTACCTGGTGTTTTCGTCATGTCAAATGTGATACACATACACAAACTATTCTATTCCCTGATTATATTCACACAGGAACTTACTCTCACAGGACCTTATGTATTACATGTATTGTACCTGGTGCTTTCGTCTTCTCAGACTGATGTGATACATATACACAAACTATTCTATTCCCTGATTATATTCACACAGGACCTTATTCTCACAGGGCCTTATTCTCACAGAACCTTACTGTGTTACATGTATTGTACCTGGTGCTTTCGTCTTCTTCGACTGATGTGATACATATACACAAATTATAATACTCCCTGATAATACTCACACAGCCCTTACATGTGTTTTACCTGCTGTTTTCGTCATGATAAGATGCACACAGGGCCTAACATATATATTCCACACTGTTTTCAAATATGTGTCATGGAAGCAAACATTGTTCATCAAAGAATAGTTGAGTCACTTGCCTCAATTGCAGAGAGGTTTAGCTAGCTATAAAACCAGGTTTAATCCACCATTTTCTACATTAGGAAATGCCTGCACCAAGTCAGGAATATGACAGTTACTTTCCATTCGTTTGATTGTTTGAGCTTTTGATTTTGCCATTTTATAAAGGACTTTCCGTTTTGAATTTCCCTCGGAGTTCGATATTTTTGTTATTTTACTTTTCATTAAAGTCAGATGTGATCATATACACAAACTATTATACAAATGTTAGCCCTTTAATACTATAAAAATGTGACAAATTATTAGTTCATAGACATTGATTCCGTGTCGTTTAGTTACTTTCTGTATGCCCATTGGCACTGTTGATGTTTTAGTGTCCAAATGTGTGTCATGGAAGCAAACTTGTTCTTCAAAGAATAGTTGAGTTACTTGCCTCAATTGCAGAGATTCAATGAAATAATTTGTTATATTGTTCGAATTTTTATATCGATTTTTTGAAAGTTTTAATAGAACATAGAAGATAAAAGTAGAAACTGGCTTAAAATATATAGTGGCATTACGAGATACAAGTTTTAACCCATTTGCACTCACGCCCAAATCAATCAAGTTAATAATTGTATACAATTTGCTCATTTAGTTTCCAGCGTGTACTAACTTTCAAAAATACATATTTCATCAACCTACTTCTCTTGCATGCTTTTACGAAACTAGCAATAAACATAATCCACATTTATTTCTACGACCTTAATTGATCTTAATTATATATCCATGTAATGTTTGTCAATGAGCGTAAAACAAACAGCAACCAATCATGTCTGTGATATTTCGTACAGCGTATCATAGAAAGTTAACCATTTACCCATCTAATACGGACATACCAATATTGGTAAAATCCCAAATTATATACACTACTGCTATATTTAGTTTGGTTCTATTTTTGCATAGGATTTGTGTTGATCAGCCATTTAAATTATATAATGAAGGCGTAAGACATTTTTCTGTTATTTTTTTTATTTGTCATCAATTTGACAATGGTTATTTTCCTGTTTCGATTCATCACGACCAGTTAAATATCTATATACACACTTTAATGTCTGTATAGTCCCGATTACACTTTGCGTGCATGCATACAGTCCATCCCGATATATTTTTAGTAACTGAAGTATTTCAAATTACGTAGTTGTCATAAAATGAAAATAACAAAATCCTGGTTTTTTTTAAACGCACTTTATTAAATTATATAATAATAAGATAAACCCGTGATTATTTAGTTTATAAGTGTCACACATTTTGCTTAGTCCTATCATTTTATTATAAGTATGGAAAGGAATAGTAGATGGTAAGTAGATCTTGTATTTAAGGAATGACTGTAATATTTTTTCTGTCTATGACGAAATAACATCAAAAATGTGGTGCACACTGAATAACTCTCGAAGCGTGTTATTTAAAAGTGTGCACCACATTTTTTAGGTTATTTCGAATAGACAGAAAAAATATTAGTCATTCCTTATAATTTGATTCTAAAAAGGAGTAAATCATGATAAAAACGTTAATGACGTCACGGTCATATGAAAAAATTACGTCTA